AGTCAAGTCACAGTCCAGTCAGTTTTGAAACCCAAAGATAAAGCTTCAACGCAAACCAAAGGACAAACAGCTGCAGTCGCCCTGACTGCACCAGCGCAAACAATGACAACCACACGGCATCAACAACACCAACAACACGCGGGTCTCTGTTCCAGGCAAAATGAGCCGATGTAGTTGTAGGCTACCTAAGAGCGTGTTCGTTTGCGCTGTTCGTGAACGATGGCAAAGAAACCTTGTTTCAAGAATCATTCCTTCAACTTCAGGGTGGTTCCGGCTCTTTAATGTTCAGCGATTGTTTCAACAGTCATTCCTGATGCCTCACGCAATTGTCCAGACCTCAACCCCTGGTGATGGAACACAAGAACAATAATCTCTTCAACTCGGAGGAAACATTCTTCCCAGCAATTGCTAGCGGCTAGCGCAGGAGAAGTGAAGCAGACTGAAAATCGAACGATTCGGGCGTGATGGGATGGAGCAATGCGTAACATGCACAAAGTTCAACTTAGAAATGATACCAGCGCAATCAAAACAACCATGGTGGTGGCAACAGCCAAGCAGTAACTACAACTAAGTGCAAAAACCATCCTGCAAAAGGTCTTTGTTTCTTTGGAAATGCACGCGGCATGCGAAAAGAAAACAAGCTTCGCGCAAGGCCTCGCTGGATTTGCAGCCACACAACTCACACGTACATACACTTGCGGTCAAGAGATGCAACAATGCGTCACCATCCTTCTTCTTCTCCTTCTTTGGCGCAGAACTCTGCTTGGTAATCTTGTTGGCGCCATCCTCTGTTCTCCTGGACTTGGCCGGTGGCTCACCTTCATTACCTTCACTGAAAAGGCCATGGGCACTCTCATCATCATCGCTGGGACCGAAGAGATCACCCAAGTCATCCTGGTCTTGGGCGGTGACCTCTGGCTCGTTGTCAACCTCAGGCTGCTTCAAGAAGTCAAGCAACTCATCATCATTATTGAAGCGTTCTTCTGACTGAACATTTGGTGAAGCAGGGGGTGGCTCAGCTGCACCATCTTGCAGCGCATTGGCCGTGACGCATTCTGAACCACCAAACTCGACCTCCATTGGTTCAGATGGAGGAGCCATAACCGCTGCTTCCTCCTTGCCATTGCCAGCATCCGGCATGGTGCACTGCAAAACAACAAGTGAGGGCCTGACGAACCCTTGCTACCCCGAACTTGCAGATCACCCTAAGCCAGAGCCGACTTGCCTCCACAAACAGGAAAGCTTGATTCTGAAATTTAAGCGCTTGTGAAACATAGCTTCTATACTCCAAGGTTCTTAGTTACTCTCCATCACTGAAATGTTGTTTGCATCGCTGCAAACTTTGACACGTCACAAGCCGTGAGGAAATAACGACGCCAGCAAATATCGGTTACTAGTCTTTCAGCTGTAATCTCAAAAGCTCCGATGCTTACAAACCATTGAATCGATTGCGACTAAACAAGCATGCGTAGCTTTGTCCCTGTCTTTGTAGTTTCGAGCTTTGTCGGTGGCCACAAACTGCAGCCAACAACCACTGCACTCCAACAAAACTTTCTGTCCTGCCAACTCTCAGCTGGCAACAGCTGACATCCGAGGCCCCTCCCAACAGTCTAGCACCCGGCTACCAGTTTAAAGCTTCTGGAGAAACACATTACCTTTAGCCCATCACAAATAACAAATGCTTGCGACAACTCAAAACCTTGACTCTTGACTCGACTGGCGGAAGCCAAGGCCAAGGCTTCCAGAGAAGGTCAAGAGTCAAGGACCAAGGACCAAGGATCAACTGTTAAAAAAGAGCACTACCACTACTGCAATGTGGGCCAGACCCCAATGGCTCAGCCTCTCAGCACCATTCAAAGGTCAGACGGTCAGACCACTGACCTGGCCCATAGGCTCTGCCTTGGCCGGGGCGTTGCTGTCCGCAGCTGCGTAAACTTGTTTAAACTCTGTCGACTTTCTCTGTCAACAACTACTGGGTATATCACATATGATATATATATATACAGTAGTGTTGGAAGTGCTTGTCCAGTGACCAGTGAACTAACTGGTACTGCCCGCTGGGCCACTCCCAAAAATTTTCCAGAAAGTGCTCTTGAATCCTACGCTCCTAAAACCCTGCAATAATTCCGAATTGCGATGGCTGTCTACAGAGTCTATGTTCACAAGAGTATTGAATATTTGGCCCATGTCCACATAAAGCGGTGAAGCAATATGGTTACGATGCGCCCTGCCACGCAAAACAATGCCAAGAAACATTGACATAGAAGCGCCACTGAGCTCTCAAGGCTCCTCTCTTTGTGGCCCACCAAAGAGACTGGGAATGGATCCAGTTTCGTATGCTCCAAGCAAGAGACACAAAGAAGCTTGCGCAACAGCAGGCAAGGCCATGGCCTGGCCCATGAACTCATGCATCTCGCCAGGGGTAATGTGTTTCATCATCGGGAGGGTGGGGAAACCTAAAAGGCGAAGCCCTTCTTCAGGCAACAAAACCCTGTCGAGCTCAAACACATAGACGCATGAATTGGTCGTCAGCGTCCTCAAGGTCCCCCAAGGCTTGCGCTGCACATTTTGCGAAACATCGCAAGAAAGGCCACGAATCACATTGGCATGGCTGCAATCTTCACCAGCCTGCCGCAGGGTTTCTTCTGTGCACAGGAAAGCCAAATCACAAAGTTCACGAACTCGATCAGTACTTCCCAAGCCCTGTAGCAAGGCGTGTGGGCTCCAAGGTCTTCTGTCTCTACAGTGCTCTGGTAGCTGATTTCGCAATGACCTGGCTTGTTGCAACCATTTGGGGTCATCGCGGCAGGAAGCTCTGGTTGTCGCGCGCGCTCCTTTCTGCACCTGCGAAAGACGTGCGCAAAGTTTTTGCCAGTTGCTAGCTGCTAGTTTTTGGCCATTAGAGTTGTAGCTGCTTGTTGCCATATGGAAAGGGTCCTTGCCTTGAATACAATATTGAATTTTGATGAATATTGAATCGAATATTGCTTTCATTTTGATTGTTTGAAATACAGGTCCTAGGTCATGGGGCCCAACTTTGGAATTATCGGCAATGAAAATGGACCCCCCCAAGTCACACTCTATCAACTAAAAACTCAAGTATTTTAAGGCCTTCGACAGAACTTGGGGGGGGTTTGGCTAGTAGCTAGTAGCCAGTAGCGAAGCCTAGCTAACAGCTAGTAGCTGGGTCTGAATGTTGCTGCTGCTGGCATGTCTTGGAGTCTTAGCCCTTGCCAAACTGCTTTTCTGCGTCAGAACTCAAGCTGCTCAAGATTCACATTGGCAACTAACCTGGAACCAAACATCAGGTTTTAGAGTTCAGTTTCTAAAGTTTCCTAGCGAACTAGTGAAGCCTGAAGCTTAAGGCATGAACTCTAAACTCTGAACACCAGGCTCAGTGGTCAATCATTAGTATTGATTACTGTGAGTGATTGCTGTGAAACTGTGAAGATGTTAGAGTTAGAGACCTAGGCTATAGGCTCTGCTCAGTGCTCTGGTTTTTGGGCACTCCTCATACGACCTATAGGAGAGGTCAAGTAAAGCTTCAGGCTGGACGCTGGACCTCGGGGGCCTGAGGGCCTGGACCGTGACAAAAATTACCAGTTTGGGTGTCCACCTTGACTCGACCTTGACCACGATTTTGGAAAAATTGGGTGTTCACGGCCACTGTTCGTTGTTTTTTTTAATTTCTGTATTTTTTAAATTCGAGTTTTTAATCGAGCTTTTATTCGAGCTTTTCTCGAGCTTTTCTCGAGCTTTTCTAGAAGAAAGCTCGAATTAAACTCAACAATTCGAGTTTAATTCGAGTTTTGCGCGAGGTTTGCTCGAGAAAACCTCGAGAAAAGCTTGTGTATGAGCTCAGTGGAACACCAGTCGAGTTTAATTCGAGCTTTTCTCGAGAAAAAACTCGAGCAAAAGTTCAACTGAAAACCCGATTAAAAATATTTTGACTTTAGAGCTCCAGTTACTCCAGTTAAACTCTGCCCTGCTGCTGTTAGCTTTCCAGCCATCAAACGTTAGGAGTTTAGGGTTTAGGGTTTAAGCTGCTAAGCTTGGGCCTCAAGCTGCTAAAGCTTCACATCAGCAACTAACCTGGAACCTAGTCAGCATTCAGGGTTTACAGTTCAATCTCTAAAGTTTCCTAGTGAGCTAGTGAAGCCTGAAGCTTAAGGCATGAACTCTAAACTCTGAACTCCGGGCACAGTGTTGCTAAAGTTCTAGACTCTAGACATGAACCTACAGCTTACAAACTAGAGATGAAACGTGCAGGTTGGAAACTTGAACCTTACACTCCAAGCAGCTCCAAGCAGTTGGCTACAGCCATCAGACCTGACCCAAAGGCTTGAAGACCATAGTTGGACTACAAGAAGTTCTTGGAATTTTACTGTTGGAACTTTGGATTAAGCCCTGCAGCAGGTCAACCCTGAGGCTTCAAAGCTGGAACTTTTGTCTCAAAGCAGAGCTTTAGAGACGCACTAACTCTAAGCTTTTCGGGTTCCATTTCTCCTTCCTACACATCAAACCTTAGGAACAGACCATTTTGTTTTTCTTAGTCACTACTTCAAAAGTTTGCCCCCTCCTCGCAGTGGCAAGGACAGTGTAACCAAGACTAGACAGCAGCTTCACTTCTGTGACTTTCGCTTTCGAAAAAATGCCGGTAGCTTTGTTTCCACAGGGTTGTGTTTGCGCAAGTTTGCAGAGTGGTTTGGCACTCTAACAACAAAACACTGGCTACACAAACTTGGAATCTGATGTCCTTTTTGTTTCCTTCACAGCTCATGAGCGAAACATCTGGTCATTATGCATGTCCCACGGGTCAGGCCATGGAGCTCAGCCTTTAATTGGCAGAGTGAGTTGTCTGGCTAAAACAAGTCTATTCCGTTTTAGCATTGTAGAGACTTGGCGCGACAAAACTGTCCTTCAGGCCCTTCAGGTCATTTGAGATAATGGACAACTCTTCAGCTTCAGTTTTCAACCGCCTATATAAAACTAATAAGTAGCTACTGTCGTTGCAGCTCATCAGACACATCGTTCACTAGTGCGCTCAGAATGCACTGTACTCGAAACTTGATCACCTCCATCATCCTGCACTGGGCATCGAGCTTTGCCTTCAAAGCCTTGATCGTCTCCATCAGGCTGGTCTCATCGGGCCCCCGCTCCAGGGCCTTGACCTTGGACGCTTGTTTGTCAAACTTGGTCTGGAGCACGCACACCGAAGCCTGCAAGGTTGTGACTGCGTCACGGAGTCGTGCCAACTGACACTGTTCGGTCTGCTTGCGAACCTCAGCAAGAGTCCAACTCAAAAGCGAGTCATAGCGAGTCACTTCCTAAGATTATTTATTTGTTAAGGACCGGACTTCAGACTTCGTGAACACACATTAGAGATTTAGAGTAAATAGCAAGATAAAATATAAGCAACAGAATTGTTGAGACATTGGCAATCGGTTCATTTGTGCCTTCTCAGCGTTACAACTTCTCTCTTCAACCACCGACACTTTCACTATCTTGCTAACTTTGCACGGACTCTGGGAGCAGCGTGTGTAGGGTTCCTTTCCTTTGAACAAAAGCAGCCAAGTGACAGTGGCATGTCTACTTCTGCTCCGGTGTCTCTTCGGGACTTGAGTTGGAGGAGGCATCTCACTGGCGGGGCGTCTCTGCGGGACTTGAGGTGGAGGAGGCATCTCACTGACGGGGCATCTTTTTGGGGCTTGAGGTGGAGGAGGTACCAAACTGGTGGTCGGTTGTGTTTCTGGCTGCTCGTCTGAACTGTCTTCCAGGATGGTCCACTCATCCCACTCAGTGTCCAGGATGGCGTTGCTGCGTCGAAGGTTTGTCCGGAATTCTGTCCCCATTGCAACAGCTGCAACCACGGGCATCATGACAGCGCAACCCAAGAGCGCACAAAAGTCTGAAGCCAGAAAACTATGTGCGCGGCAACATATGCACATGTATACTGTATATATATAATACAAAAAAAAATATATATATATATATTTCTATGTGTGTGATCTATTTTATGTCATTATGTGTGTGTAATCTGTCGAGCATTGCTTGTCGTGGAGAAACAAGCAACCTTTTCCAAAACACGCCGGCGGGCTTCTTGCGAGCACAGACCTACCACCCCAACACTACAACAGATCAACATGACCGACAACAATCATCAGGCCAGTGGTGCGTCTACTTCTGTGTGAAATTTCAATTTACTGTTTGTCAGGTGAGTAGTGGGCATGTACAGACTTAGTGACAGCACTCTACGTCCTACTAATTACAAACAAGGCGGTTCTTTTGCTTCTTCTAACTAGTAACGCTGAAAGCGAAAAAGCAAATGCTGTTGTTGTTTTTGTAAGCCACCAGCTCCAGGTTGTTTGCAGGGTTCTATGGTCTGTCTGTTTGGTCCAGTGCCTGTTTGTTGGGCCAATGCGTGCAACCAAACAACAAAATTTGGCTAAGTAAGCTGACTGCCTTGCGCGCGAAGCAAGTTGTACAGTCCCACTTGTCACTTGTCGCTTTAGCCGCCTAGCCTCAAACATCATGTTGGGCCAATGCTGGGCCATGAGAGAAGCCAGGACCCAGGAGTCATAAGTATGAGAAGCAGTCTTGCAACTATGAAGGGCAAGCAATATCAGCTATAGCTATAGAGTCTGTCTCTGACGCAGCGCTGGGAGACCCAAAAAAAACGGATATGCATCTTCTTTGGAACCAAAAATTGAAATCGCCGTTTCATGTACGTTTCCAACTGTCGGAAAGCTTCACCAATGAAGCGTTGACGCAACAAACCAAACAAGATAACAAGAACAAGAACCATTAAACTGCGCCTGGATCTCGGCCAAGCGCTCTGCTAAAAAGCTGCTGTTGGAAGGCAAAACCAAAGACATCATCGAAGCAGGCTCACAGTTTTCTCGGAAAAACTGCATGGACTCCTTGAAGATCTCAACAGCCCTTGGCAAAACGTGTGTTCCAAGGTCTTTGTGGCATAGGAGCAAATACATGCGTTCCCTCGCCCCCTCCAACCACAAGCAAGAGTCAATCACAGTGACATGGTGGCTATAAAGCCTGTCACATGGCCCGCCGGGGTTCAACGCTTTCAAAAGCTCATCAAGAGGGCTTCCCTCAGCATAGGCAGCATCAAAGCGGCTTCGAGGCTTCCGTGCATCTTCCCTGCAAGCAAACCCGAAATTTCAGTTTTATAGAATGTGAACATTCCGACGCCCAGTGGTTAGCACAAGGTCTCACTACGTTAGTACAGCATTGCACAACAACGCATCTCATGACTCGACTCTGGTCTTTGGAAACTGAACGACATGAAATTCAATGAAATGAACATGACTCTGCCGCTGCCTTGACTGTCTCAAAAATCCCGGAACGTTCTCTAAGACCGCCAACAGTGGCATCCTGTTTGTCATGGACTCCGCGACCTCAAACATAATCTTCGCTTCAGGGTGGTCACGCCACCCACCTGACTGCCACCGTGCTGGTCGAGCTGTGCTGAATGGAGCGCATGGAAACCCAGCTACAAACAAGTCCTCCCGCGTAGGCTCCAAAAAGCACAAGCTCTCATGGACAAAACAGAACCCTTGGTTCTGAACCAGCTGTTCTGCAATCGCAAAATGGTGGTGCGCTCGTTCTGTCTCCTTGCTGTTGCGAAGAAGACTCACGCAAGCTGTCTTTGGATCAACGCTGCAAAGTTCTTCAACTGGGAACCCCAAAAGATCCAAAGCTATCCGGGGCGCCCCTGTTCCACTACAACAGGTCACCAATTTCACTTTGCGCTGAAAAACAGCATCAGTGAATCGCGGGCCAAACCACCGAAGCATGTTCTGTTGCCATCCACAAGCAGGTTTGTAGTCCAAGTCGGTGGGCACCATGTAGGTGGGATGCAATCCCTTTTGGCTGCAGGGTGGGCCATGCACACCTGAGGTCGTCGCTGGCACATCTGCATCACTGCTGCCCAAATCACTGCTTGCCCCGAAGTCACGACCAGGCAAGGTAGCCCCGGTGAAATAGCCATCAATGGAAGCTAGCGAGCTATCGGGGCTGTTTGGTCCAGTAGCTCTCATCAAGCTCTCAGACCTTGGCCTGCACGTTGTCAAATCCAAAGTTTCGCTATCACTGTCATCGGTACTAAGCCGCCGCTTCATGATGAACAGGACAAAGGCTCCAACGGGACAAGAAGGTTCTGCTGCGGCGAAGCCAAATCGCTACATCTCATTACATCTCACGCATGGACATTTGTTGCATTAGCGCGAACTGCTCTTGGACTTAAAAGGTTTCAAAAGTAAGAAATCAACAGCTTCAGCAAACAGAATCACACAGCTTGCTTGCCACACTTCACTTGTTCAGGTTCCGGCCACTGGCATTCAACAAAATGATCGCCTTAGCGAAGGAATCAAAAAATGGACTTGGAAAAATGCTGAGCAAACAGTGTGAGTTCCCGGCAATTGAACAGCCTTCGTCAAGTTTGGAGCCTTGCGCGCACAAGTGGAGAATGAAGCCGACGTCATGTCTACTACAATGCAATGCGACTATCAGGAAGCATCTGTTCTGTTGTAGCAGGAGTGCATGACATGGAACACTCTACTCACCCAAGACGGTTCCTGCGTGTCACAGGCTTTCTGGCAAGAAGTTTCGGGGGCTGCCACCGCCTGAAAAGAAACGCGGCTTCGAGTGAGGACCTTCAGAACCTCGCACCTGGACCTTGACCTTGAGGCCTCGATGCCATGTCTGTCTGAAACCCTAGCAGCACAACGATGAAGAACACCCGCTTCTATTTCAACATTCGGAAGTTGCGCCATCCTCCTGGAAGCCCTAGAGCTATGGACAGTTTTCGGGCTCGGAACCTTCACCTTCTCTGGGTGGCCGTTCCAAGTCTAAGAAGGTGCCACTGTTACTCTCCTCTTTCAACATCTGTCGAGCTTTCTTTCTCTTCTCGAAGCTAGGCTTGCACAGCCTGATGTGTTCTGATTTGTTGGGATGGGAATCCGCCTCCCATGCCCAGGCCATGAGGAACGCAAGGGGTCTACCTTGCGCCAGAGACCGGTCAGACGCATTGAGCGTCTTCGTCTTGAAGCACGAAGGATGCTTTGGGCACCGGATAAAGACATCATTCGCCTGGGGCTTGTGCTTAATGTGTGTGATGAAGTTACCTCCATCTTCACCTCGAATAGGTAGCCCTTCATGGCTTTGCCTTGGGCCCTCCCGCCTATGTGTTTCCACCCTCTCACCGCGCACCTCCTCTAGGGGCACTGCTGCCAGGTCTGACAGCGACATAGAATCTGGAAATCTCTCTTCTGCGCGGCTTGCTGAAGAAGGGGCAGGAGGAGGGGGCATGGCTGCTTCTGTGGCCACTTCCTCTCCAGCACCACCCCTTGCACTCTCTAGGTCACAGGTTTCATCCTGACCGTCCAATGCCAAAGCTAGAGCTTCCATCAAAACTTCTTCCCTGATGGGTACTTCTGGAGCGTCTGCTGGTAACTGCCAAGCATCAAAATCAACATCGTTCTCTGAGTCTTCCTCCAATTCATACACCTGTTCTCCATCTAGGTCTACACTTGCATGCGACTGGGTTTCAGCGCTGTTTCCCTCAACAGCCATGGTTTGGTCCTCTTGGCCTTGGCCGTCCTCCAAAAACAACTCCAGAGCAGTGCTTGCATTTCTTTTCGCAGTGCGTGGACCCTCGGCTGCTGGGCGTTGGCGCGCACCTTCAGAACGGTAAGCAGAAGCGCCTTTCCAGGCAACATAGGGCGGGCACTCGGTTTTTTGGGCTACACACACAGCAGGAACCAGATTCCCCACAACTTTCTCGCAGTTGACCAACTCATACAGTTCAGCCGACCATTGCATGTTTACATCCAGCTTCTGTAAAAGTTCGTAGAAGTCTTCAAACTTGCTGTCAAAAGTCAGATCTACATGTGAGCCGGCTTGCTCTGCAGAGTTGTTTGGCTGCTGCAATACACCAAAGACTGGGAAAAATTGTTTCAAGCCACCCCACACAAAGGATATGTGCAGCCACATGGTCTCGCTTGGGCGCCGCTCTGAAATGCCCAACCCTGCCTCTACACTTTGACCGCTCAAAGTCTTGCCTTCTAGGAGCGCTTGGGTTTGCACTCCAGACAAATGCAAAACCAATAAGCCATTTACCAACTTGTCCTTGAGCTTTGCCCTGGACGAGCACATGGCAACGATAGCTGCAGCGAATCGTTTTCGGAGTGGCTCCAACCAACCTCGACAGAACGGAACTCCAGCGCAGCGGCACCGCTTGTGCTTGTCAGGAGGCGGCTTTGTGTGATGAAACGAGCTACCAGTTATCATATCATGCCTCTGCTCCCATGTTTTGTCTAAGGATTGGAGACGCCCGTCTTGACTTCCCTCCTCCAATTTCTTCAACCTTTTCCAGGCGGAGTTCATGCAGGAGGCGCTCACATCGAGAGCGGTCGAAGATCGTGCCATCGGCACACATGGTGAAATTGGCACCACATCCTCACCTGCCACCGGAATGCCAAGCTGCCAATCCTTACAGCGAGCAAGAAAAGGTCTTTGGGCAAAGTCTAGGTCTAGGTCTAGGTCTAGGTGGGTTGGCGCCAACGCTGGGCAAAGTCTACAGGGATACGCGCGGTCTAGTTAGTTGAACGCCTGTTGTTTGGAAATTGTGAAGGACCTTTGCCTAAGCAACACAGTCCCTACAAAAACACACTGCCATTGGTCTCCTCCTCTCTTTTGACTCTTTTGTCAAACGACCCTGAATTCAAAAAACTAACCAAACATGGGCGTTGGCGCTCGTGTTAGTAACTGTTAGGTATATATACATATATATGTATATATAGCCTGAGTGGTTCTTTCTCTAGGCACCTTCAACTAAAAGTTCTGGTTATGGCAAGGCGCT